AAGTAAGGACTAGAATTCTTCTACAGTTATTACTTCACATTCCTTCATTTGAGATACTGAAACAGAAATTTTGTAATAGAATTTCTCCTCTGACTGAATATCAGTTCTGTTTTTTTAAACTAAACAACAAAATAAACTTCAGGATTTAAGTCAGATATTTTTAACAATAATGCTATAACCTACTTGTAGCCACAGGTCTATTTTTAGCGGTCAGCAGTTTTACTGCCCATTCTGACCTAAGGCTTCTAAAACTGCATTCCAGTAAAGAAATATATTTTATATTTTGTGCTTTTAAGAGATGAGTTTTATCATAATTTTAAGAGGAACTTTTTTAAAATTCCCTTTTGTATATTAAGTTATATTTATTACAACTTTGCTCATCTTAAGATGAATGTTCAGAATGATGTTTATCTTTGTAATGGCACAAATTTCTGCATCTTTTAAAGCACGTTGTGGAATGGAGAACAGTAGCAGGTTGCTGACATCACTGACTAGTAGTATTTTGTTATTTGTTTGTCCAAAGTCACCAACAGACAATAACATATAATATTTGTTGTCTGAAGGGGACTTGGATCATCTTGTGCACCAACTGTAATATTCTGCCCCACAAATTTTTCTCTCCTTGATACTGCTCATTCTAATGAGAAATATGCGCTATAAATAGTGTAGCTGTACATTTTGAAACATTACATTCATGGATGCAGAACGCGTGGCTCCGAAGGTGACATAAGCAAGATTAAATTGGTACAATGCTGTTTTAGAGTATTTTTCGCTTCTCACAAAATGCATTTGATAGGCACGATCTGTATACCATAAAATAAATTATTTTTCTGATTGCTAAAACTCGACTTTGATATTTCTGGCACTCGTGTGGTTTTGAACTAATAGATATCTATTAACAGATCTGTATTAAGTTAAAAGATGAACTAAAGGTGTCTTTGTAAGTATAATATTACTGAATTTAAGAAGATAGAGGTAACTTTCAAGGATGTCAAACAGTAAACATATTGAAGATTTCCGTCTTCTGGGTTGTTGCACTGTGTAGTCTGGTCGATGTTAACCAACGTTGCAGAGGTCAACCCAGAAGACGGAAATCTTCATACTCACCGCTTAACAAGCGGCCAGAATTGTGTTCTTCTTTTATATCAAAGTAGGTTAAATACATGTTGTTAAAGTGAAAGCAGAACAGTGAAAATAAAATTATATAATGTGACTTGACTTTCACTGGTATGTCACATATTTTTAATACATGTATGAACAAAAAGCACAATTTGGAGTCATTGATGATCCTTCATATATTTCAATTCTAAACAGTTCTGATGATGATGATGGATTACAATTAAAATTTTATGTCTTCATATATTTTCTGAAATATTTCTGTTTATCTCACAAACCTTCTAGGAACATCAAAAATGTTTACGTAGCTGACCACTGGTATAAACAGTGTCCTCTCTGTTGCTATGCTAAACTATCTTGAGACTTCTTGGTCAAGATCAAAATACGATGACCAGTTCCTGCTTTACGTTACTTTTACATTTCTCATTAGAATGGCAGAACCTACTACTCTTTATGGCTCTGTCTTTCGCTTCACTTGACTTGAATATAATCCAATTTCTCTTCTTTCTCCAACTTTTCTCTTACACAGCGGACAAAGTATAAACAGTTCCGAAAAACAAACCAAACGACGGTAAGATTCTAGCTCATTTCTTCTATAGTGTTATTTTTTTCTGCAGTTTTCCCTCTTGTTGTCTCAACTGTTCTTTTGTTATGAGTGGCATTCATTCCCTTGCAATTGACAGCCCTTTTAGTGCCCTGTCTGTCCCTGTGAACTGTGCTTATGCAAAGTCCTGCTCATTTAAAATTAGTGTAGGTATTTGTAAGTACCAGTAGTCACACAAATTGACATCCATATACACTTTCATGTATACTTTCTGTAAGGTTTTTCCTTTGTATTACACACAAAACATTACATCTCTATGATTATTCAAAGCATCACTGGAAGAACATCCAACATCTATGAAGAAACGACACATTAACTTCTTAAAAAAGTGGCTCTTAGTTTGAAGTCTGTTGTAATTACTGTCTATCATTAAGACTATTATGACACTGGCTATTTTTCTTTTTTTATCAGTTTTGCCCAAGATTCCTGGAATAATCAGTTCTGGGAATCATTTCCTAGTAGGCAAAAGAGGGTGTCGAAATGGCACTGCTGATTGGACCATATAACAGAACAATAAAATTAATAACTTAATTATAATATAAAGTTCTTTATTCTTAAAACCCTTTATATTTTAGTACAAATGAATGTAACTGTAATTAATTTTAAGAAGTCCAATGTGATAAACTCACCTCCAGTGATGTGGCAAGAATCATGCTATGTGTCTTCACGCTGATAGAGACAAGGCGATACAGATTTGTTCAGCATACAAGAGTTTCAATATAAACAATGAATATTATTCTTTTGAATGCAGATGCGTCTTCATGCACACATTTTTAGCTCTTCCAAATTGTTAAACTTTTAAAATCAATCATTCACACTATTAATATGTCAGACTTTTGTTTCATAGAATTTTACTGTTTCAAATATGTTAAGAAACATGATTCACAATGATCACACAATAGCAAGAATTTATCCTTTTCTCCTCTTGTATCAGTGCTAACTTAAACATGTCACCTCTTTACCAAGATAATTTAATTTCTCAATGACAATAACATGAAGTAATCAAGCATATTCAAGTTTGTAAACTCAGAATATGTTGATACTATGTTTGAACATGAAGCTACTTTATGATAAATTACATTATTTCTAAATCCCTTGAACATGTTCTGTGTTATTTAAAATTGTCGTCTTGCCTCCATATGATAAGCTGTGTATTTCAGAATATAAAATTCAATAACATAGCCCTATATGTGTCTCGTTTCAAATCCTTATAATTATTGTATGTATATTGATAGTGTAATAATAATATCAGTTTGTAACATTTGAGTGTTATAATTTTACTTTCCTTGTGCTCTTTTGTTAAACAAATGAAATGCACAGTGCCTTAGAACTAAATCGCTTTGCTTCTACCCGCAAAGAGGTAACTTCAATTAATAATTAGCTGAGGTAGAGAATTTTGTTGCAGTCACTGGCATACAAGTGTATGAGGTTGAAATAAACGAGAAAGCAATATTCTGTCCTTTACTTTTTGCACAGTTGTTTCTATGTAAACAAATGGTGGTGTTAAAAATGTATTAACATGCATTTATCACTACCTACTTCAGATATATTTTCTATTGCACAGCTGATGTTTCGTCTACAAAATTAACTAATTCTCTCTTTGTGACATATACTTATATGTTACTACAAAAAACAGTGACAGTTTTAGATTTGTATATTTTATTACTTACTTCAAAAAACCAATACCTTGTATTAGAAATAAATATGCCTTCAGTGATAAATTTATTAAGTCATTACAATTTTGATTCTTTATTACATAATATCAAATCTAGTAGGCCACATAATACACACTGATGGAAACAGTAACATATACACAATCAATCAATTGTGACACTGATATTTGTTTGTGGTGGAGTCAGTAATATAAACCAGCTTACTCGGACGTACTGCACTTCTATTCTAAATGGCAAATCAAACGCACATTGTGGTGCCACAGAAGTACATGGCAATACGAAAATGAATTGTTATCTGTCTCTGTTTATCTGTGGTTTGTTTTAAGTGAAAAAATTTATTCATGTTCAAACAAGGAAACAAATCTATAGAACACTACTAACTTAGATCCATATATTTTGTTGCAGTGATGCAGATTAATACAACCTTCACTTTAAGACACGCCTTATGGAGATGTACACACACACAACATGCATAAATTCCTTTCATCGGGTTTTATCCATTTCTCTGTCTCTGGTCTTATTTCTTAGCGTTAATTGATTTTACAGTGTAATAGTGATCTGTCTCAACTGTTGGTCTGTTGCATGGCAACCATTCGATGCATATTCATCTACATCCGTACCTATGTCACCGCTTGGCAACTGTTTTATAAATAAAGTGATCATTCTGTGGCCCCATGACAGTAAAATCTAGAACACCTGTTGACAAGAATATGCATTTGTAACACTGTGTAATAAATAAGCAGTTTAATTATATAATAATTCTTTTTTTAAGAAAATTCAACAAAATGATCCCTAAATGAAAACACTAAGTCATAAAGGCAAATTTGGAACATAGATGTAAAGCAACATGCATGAAAAATTCTATGCATACCCCCCCCAGACATTGCCTGTCTTCTCAGAATCCATATTATGTTATAATCAGTGTGCCATATAGCATGGAAGTGCAGTTATCATGAAACTACATCAATGAATGTAAACCTCTGTTGATTGGAGGAAGTGCGGCTTACTTTGTGTGTCTCTGATTGTTCCGGTTTGCTTCAGGGCACAAGGACAGGAGAGAATCAATGTTAGATCTACCAGAGAAACAAGGAATTAGTTGCAGTACTCCGTCAGATGACGAGGATAAGACAGGGTAAGCAATGACTTATTCATGAGCCAGAAACATATTTCTGTTCTATTAATTAAAATTCTTGGCTGAAGACTGTATCATTCTCTTGTTTAATGAACTGAAATAACAGCAAATGTGTGTTGCTATAAATTTCTCTTTGAATATGCATATGGTTAAGCTACAAAGAACTACTACTGAAATTTTGACAAGAAGGGGAAGGTTTACTCTGATGGAATACATACACTAATGAATAAGGAAGCCAATAGCTAGAAGAACCTCTTTACTTATCCTCTTTCACACTGACCACAATAGAAATTGCCAAAATAATGGTCAGAATTATTGTAGAGTTGAACTAATGTGACAAAACATCAAAATGACTGGCATGAATTGTAATGGGAAAGTGGGAAATTTGTACTGGATTTCAGCAGAGCAATGACTACAGCTGTTGTTCTTGATGATGATGATGTGAAGCTATTACCAGAAGTGACACTGGGTCCAGGTCAGATTCACCCACGTGGCTATCGCCTCACAACAGGCCATTACGGAGAAATCAAGCTTGGTCTCCTAATGGCTAAAGGACAGCTCGAGGTAGAAGTTGTGTGTGCTCGTAACATTGCCTGCGAAGCACGAGAGAGCATGCCAGGTAAAGATGTGTTTATAAAAATCCCTAAATGGTTATTTTACAACACTGTAATAACTGATGATAATGCTTAGTACAGAGTGCCATGGTTAAAATGATGAGTTGGGAATGATACGGAGTAAGCAGTTTCGGGTCTGACTAGCTGGTGTATTACAAAAAACATGCAGGTCATGTGCATTCTAGGGTTTCCTGTGGGAAAATTTGCGGCTCATATCAATTACTGAAGGGAAGAGACCACTTGGAAAACACTTGGACCTTGATGGGAGGAAAATATTTGCCATTTTCAGGGCTGAATATCACACGCTTGCATATAGGAAACCCTTATAATATACATATGGTAGATTGGGTTCCATGAAAGATTGAGAATTTATTGACTAACTGAGCAATTATTAGCTTCTCAAAGAGTTCAAGGAGTATCTGCTGCATGTAGTAGCATGAGACTAAAGCTACTGGAAGTGCAAACGTAGTCATAAAAAGCATTTTGGAGAACATGTGTTTTAAGAATTAACATTCTATGCTATCAGTAATGTGGTTATTTAAACATGTTATTGATCTCTGAGGCCACATGTAGTAATTTGAGATCAAAACTACTGTTTCCAATAGAAAATGATCTTAAAATTGTTATTTAATACACATGAAGCTTGAAGATGACATCACTGTTCCTCAGCACTATGTGATGATGTGTAGGAGCATGGATATAAGAGACTAATGCATTCTAGACCTTAATGCTATATGGAGGTAAGTGATCAGTTCAGATGTTGTAACCAAGAGAAAGACTCTGCTAGGAAATGAACTCTAGCCAGTTGTACTATAGCCAGTTACATTACTGACTGAACTATCTCAGCTCTTTTTAAAACCATGTTTATGAGCTTTACAAACAGTCATGACCTCTTATATTAAAAATAAAAGTGGACTAATGTTACGTTACTTTTAGTAAATCTGGCACTTCTGTTAGTGCTAACGAAATTCATTAGCATGAGTTTCCCTTCTCATGCCCATAATTAAAATTTGTTTCTGTTGGTACAGACACGTATGTGAAGACATACCTCCGAGATGGTGATCGATGGTTACAGAAGAGAAAAACAAGAGTTGTGAGACACAGTAGTGACCCTCAGTACCACCAGACACTACGGTACTCAGCCTGTGATGTTTTGGGCCGATCATTGCTTGTTATGCTCTGGGAACGACAGAAAGGCTTTGAACACAATCAGGGACTTGGTGGTGCAGAAGTTGCACTGGACAAAATCCAACTGACCCACCTCACTACAGGCTGGTATCCACTTTTCCCCATTCACAGCCTTGGTTCTGACTCAAATGACTCCCCATGACATATTCCACCAGTTACTACTGTCTACTTCATGACTTTCCTTGTGTCAGTGAGGACTGAAATGGGCTGGAACCCTTGTTTTGTTCTCACTTACTGATGCTGATATGTATTTCAGCTCACTTGGAAAAACCAGACAGATCAAATTCAAGAGCTACATCTCTTATGTGTTTCTGGGAGCTTCTGAATGAACAGCTTAAACTATGGATGGCATAGTTTATATAGCACTGGATTAACCAAAGTATAGAAAAACTATAAAATAGGCTGAGTTGTGCTGAGGTTAATCATGGCAGTGTTGCTTTGTTAATAACCCGTTTTACTTTTTACAGTAAAGTATATTGTTGTAGGCAATACTTAAGCTGGACATAGTAACAAATTCTTATTCAAACTACTGTGTTTCTTGTAGATTTGATTCAATAATTGAGTAGCAATTAAAAAAATAGTTCAAATTAGAAATTTACATATTTTGTATTTGTGATCCTATGGTTCATTGTAATCATCTGACAAAGGTAATTAATATTTTGAAATATTACTATATTGTGAATTTAACAATATTAAAAATCTTAGGAAAGACAAGCTGTTATATTTGCCAATATACATTGTATCTACAAAAGGCAGATTGATAGTTTTCATATTTAATACATTAACATATAATAATAGCAACATCTGGAAATTGCTGTATTATTTTTAAAATATATTGTAATCATGCTATCTTTCTGAAGGCAGGGACCAAGATGAAATGTATTATCAGCAACATTTTTTTTAAATAGGGTTGGCTTGGGATATTTTAGGTTCCCATGACAGATTTATAGAACCATGAGCTACAGCCAGTTACATAAAGATTTTTTATACCTGAAAAGAACTATGAGAAGGGTGAGACTGCAGGTCATCTCCAAAATATCACAGAACCACTTATCAGTTAATGTGATATCATAAGTCAATAAATGTATACTGCAGCATTTAATGAAAGAGATTTAATTGTTAACAGTTGCTGTTAGTGATAATCTGCAAATTAATATTTGAATTTTGTTTCAAATTTAATAACATATCATTTTCAGGAGCTATTTATATTTTGGTTATTCTCTGAACTTCTCAATGATTATGCCAGTCATTTCATGTATTAATATGTTCATGGCAGTGAAGATGTTAACCTCAGTGTTGTGGGATGTGATGCCATGTGGTCTTAAAGGTGATTATAGATGTTTCGGTGAAATATCTCACCTCCATCTTCGGAAGATCATGATCCAACAACAATATGTTTTAAGTGGAAGTTAAACAATGCCCTTTTAGCTGTTCAATCACAACATGTCTGGTTTTGCCTAAATGTTTAATAATTGTACTGTTTCTTAGCTATACTTTCTGTTGTCATTTGAGTCAGTAACAGAAGTAATTACATTGGGCTGGTACCCATTGGTCAAACTGAAATGGATTGCTGTTAATTAGTTGTAAATATGTATTTGTGGTGCATATAAATGTTGTCTGAGATATAATTGAAAGGTGCAACCTCTGCTCCAAGTAAGCCTTTCCTTCTTCTAGCGGTAGTTGACCAAGTCAACTATGGACAATCAAAATAACTTTTCTCTCCACAACAAGGTAAACCAGATTAATACAAGGTGAGTGATACTGATTAATGTTTGGCCACACTGTAGTGGCACAACCTTCCAAATGAATATCATGTTCATTCTAACTTGTAAATGGCATTTCCTGTTCTTGTGCCACATAAAACTATGTTGAGATGTCGCTTTGTAGTAACTAATCTGGCATGTGTTCAGGGCCTGCTTCAGTTATGAAAGATCTTTTTTATTTCATCTTCACAAAGGTTTGTTAATGCCAGTGAGAAAAGGTTTCATATTTTAGTTTAAACTATGAACGTACACATATTTCTGGGTGTTATATACTAATGTGTGTGCTCATTGCAAATTTGGTAGCTGAGAATGATGCATATATTATCAATTACTGAGCTATAGTTAATAGTTCAGCCTCAAACTGTCACAAGTTTCAGATGTTCATCAAAATATTTATTCCACCAGCAAGATTAAGTAAGAAGGCAAGTTCCACAATATTTTTTGTATGTATCAAGCATAGTTTACCATAAAGTGTAGTTATGTACATTAAATATTGGAAACATGAATGTAATTTGGGGTTTTAGAGATTTTTGTGTGTACCAGTAATGTACATTTCCCAGTATTGAATTTCATATCACAGATGAAAATATTGATTCAGGGACTTTGGTATCACAATAAAGAATTAGAATGATTTTAATGGGGTGTATGGCCAGTCTTGCAAAACCAACAATAATAAAAATTTGGCTTTCTATTGATTACTCTAATTGATATTGTTAATTAAGCATTTGTTGTAATTGGTATACACTGTAGATTTGTATAAAGGGATATCTGTGGTTTCATCCAAACTTTACTGTAAAATGAATAAACTTTTTATTTTTAACATAAATTCATATGTAAAATGTCATAGAGATTTAAGCCCAGAGGATGTATGTTTAGATTCCTATGACATACTGTACTAAAATAAGAGATTCTGTGTAATTAATTTATAAGACAAAGAGGGAAATCAAAATGTAGACTAGTGATTCAGTATGTGATGGAGAGGAAGAAGTTTCCTGAATATTGTATTATATGTAAAATTGTGTCAAATTTGGACACAGACATCTGCTCTACAGCCATATCATTGTCTTATTAGCTTGATTAATGTTGTTGATGTTACAATCATAAAACCCCTATCTATAAATAAATTCATATTCCACACATTGTTTGTACCGTAAACAAGTTATGATACTTACTACTTCGTACTATGACAATCTTCTGAAAAATAATCTTGTTGCATTTAGATTTAATGCAAAAAGGAAATGTTGTGTGTTCTGCACATTCCCCATATCTAAACAAACTAATGTCATACTGAAATAAATTTGTGGTAACTTATTCTGTAGACAATGTTTCATGTTTCTCAGCTCTGAAAAATGCACATATTACAATCAGTTGCCTAATCCATTCTTACATTATAAACTATTTAGATTTAAGTATGTACAGAAATCTTGTTTTAGAAAAGCAGCAAGATATGTGATTATTAAAAGTTATTTCTGAAAAGCTTCCATGCTGTTATATTACAAACAATGATAGACACTAGAGTTACAGTCTTATAATCATGAAATATAACTATAGACAGGTCACTGCTGGAGAGATAGCAGTGGACACATAAACATGTTTCTCGTTCACATAAGTCTGCTTCATATTATAGCTCTTAATAATAAATATTAATATTCAGCCAATTTTGCACTTTTTATCAAGGCAGTGGATTGAACACCATCTAATTTACAATTCTGTCATCTGGTATAGTGAAAGTTCTTGACAGAAACACTGCTTGCCAGTTGGTCTGTGCTGAGGCTGTACATGTACAATTATGTTAATTGTCAACGGATATTTTTATTGGGTAAGCGGCAGAATACATATTAATTATTTTATTCTAACAAACACAAAAACACATACATTATAAATATATGACCTCTGATACATGCCACTACATAACATGAATCAGCAGTTTCTCATAAATATACACCACATTCACAGAATGTTTAGAAGTTTTAGTCATCAAACTAATGGAGCAAACTGCATGCAGCTAGGACAGGATAGAGTCCAGTGGCAGGTTTTTTGTGAACACAGTGATAAACCTTTGGGTTCCATAAAGAAAGTCGGCTATTCTTTGACAATCATAAAACCTTGCATACCGTGTAGTATCAAATTTCTATATATAAAAAACACATATAGAAACCAACTGTTTCCACTTTAAAACACATTGTTTCAATCTCATGAGGTCATCATCAGTGGTGTGGCGTATTAAAATCAGTCCATAAAATCCATATAGTTCATATAACAATGTGTTGTCACAAAACATTGTGCATAAAGATGGTATCCTGCTCCTTCATATCATGTTTATAAACCACACTTTGTGGATTATGTTGCATATGAACTGGTCTATTATCCCATATGCTCTCGGTCATGTCATCATTCTATTCAAGGTGGAGGGATTCTTGTGTTACAGCACTGTCTAATGACCGAAGTCTCTCGTGGTTTGCGTTGTCCACCGCAAGCCATGGGCTGCTCCGTCTGCATGTGGACCATCATGGATTTCTATGTGTGCATGGGTATTACTGTCAGCTTGGAAAGTGTGTAGGAGTTTATAAACACTATGGCAACCAGTGTGGCCATCTATTGTATACAAAACTTTACTTTATTACAATTTACTACTAGGTCAAAAAGCACATTGGAGTCATAGGTGTGTTAATATGCCACGTTTGTGCTTGTGGACAACAGATTGGTCTATTTCTATAAGCCCCTATTGGCCCTCCATTAAATGTCTCTTCTGTTCAAACACTATTTACTAATTACTGCTATTGAAAAATCACTTCCAATTTTCCTGTTGTAAACTGATAATACTGTCAAAATTGGCTGAATTAAATTACAACAATCATATTGCTAAAGAGTTGGTATATAATTCCATAACTTGGAGCTGTAAGGCCTAAATTTAATGTGGATACAGTTCTTCCCTTCTTTATAGCAATTTGTTAATGTGCTTCTGGAAGAAAATAGCACTCTTTAACACAAAACCACGAAATAGTAAGTGCTTTATCTAATTATTACTTCAAACATGTCACTTAGCAAGTCAAATTCATGCCTTTAAAACTGGACTGCTTTACTTCTAAAGTCATTGTTTACATGACTGTAAGAGTAGTAGTTATAACTTCCTACTGACATAGCTGTTTAAATTACATATGAGGAACTGACTACTGTCATTAATTCAGAAGAAAAACAATTCTGGATTATTTTCAACTCTCTTAGGTG